CTATATCTCTCATCATCAGTAATGTCCCCTATATCTCTCATCATCAGTGATGTCCCCTATATCTCTCTTCATCAATAATGTCCCCTATATCTCTCATCATCAATAATGTCCCCTATATCTCTCATCATCAAGAATGTCCACTATTTCTCTCATCATCAATAATGTCCCCTATATATCTTATCATCAATAATGTCCCCTATATCTCTCATCATCACTATATCTCAATAATGTCTATATCCTCATCATATATCTCTCATCATCAATAATGTCCCCTATATCTCTCATCATCAATAATGTCCCCTATATCTCTCATCATCAATAATGTCCCCTATATCTCTCATCATCAATAATGACCCCTATATCTCTCATCATCAATAATGTCCCCTATATCTCTCACCAATAATGCCCCCTATATCTCTCATCACCAATAATGTCCCCTATATCTCTCATCATCAATAATGTCCCCTATATCTCTCATCATCAATAATGTCCCCTATATCTCTCATCATCAATAATGTCCCCTATATCTCTCATCACCAATAATCCTCTATATCTCTCATCATCAATAATGTCCCCTATATCTCTCATCATCAATAATGTCCCCTATATCTCTCATCATCAATAATGTCCCCTATATCTCTCATCATCAATAATGTCCCCTATATCTCTCATCATCAATAATCTCCCCTATATCTCTCATCATCAATAATGTCCCCTATATCTCTCATCATCAATAATGTCCCCTATATCTCTCATCATCAATAATGTCCCCTATATCTCTCATCATCAATAATGTCCCCTATATCTCTCATCATCAATAATGTCCCCTATATCTCTCTCTCAATAATCTATCATCAATAATGTCCCCTATATCTCTCATCATCAATAATGTCCCCTATATCTCTCATCACCAATAATGACCTCTATATCTCTCATCATCAATAATGTCCCCTATATCTCTCATCACCAATAATGTCCTCTATATCTCTTATCATCAATAATGTCCCATATATCTCTCATCATCAATAATGACCCCTATATCTCTCATCATCAATAATGTCCCCTATATCTTTACCACTAATGTCCCCTATATCTCTCATCATCAGTGATGTCCCCTATATCTCTCTCATCTCTATATCTCTCATCAATAATGTCCCCTATATCTCTCATCATCAATAATGTCCTATATCTCTTCTATAATCTATATCTCTCATCATCAATAATGTCCCCTATATCTCTCATCACTCAATCACCAATAATGTCCCCTATATCTCTCCCTAATGTCCCCTATATCTCTCACCAATAATGTCCCCTATATCTCTCATCAATAATGCCCCCTATATCTCTCATCACCAATAATGTCCCCTATATCTCTCATCATCAATAATGTCCCCTATATCTCTCATCATCAATAATGTCCCCTATATCTCTCATCATCAATAATGTCCCCTATATCTCTCATCATCAATAATGTCCCCTATATCTCTCATCATCAATAATGTCCCCTATATCTCTCAACATCAATAATGTCCCCTATATCTCTCAACATCAATAATGTCCACTATATCTCTCATCATCAATAATGTCCCCTATATCTCTCTAATCATCTATATCTCATCAATAATGTCCCCTATATCTCTCATCATCAATAATGTCTATATCAATAATGTCCCCTATATCTCTCATCATCAATAATGTCCCCTATATCTCTCATCATCAATAATGTCCCCTATATCTCTCATCATCAATAATGTCTCCCTATATCTCTCATCATCAATAATGTCCCCTATATCTCTCATCATCAATATTGTGCACAATAATGTCCCCTATATCTCTCATCATCAATAATGACCCCTATATCTCTCATCATCAATAATGTCCCCTATATCTCTCATCATCAATAATGTCCCCTATATATCATCTCTATATCTCTCATCATCAATAATGTCCCCTATATCTCTCTCTCTATATCACCGATAATGTCCCCTATATCTCTTATCATCAATAATGTCCCCTATATCTCTCATCATCAGTAATGTCCCCTATATCTTTCACCAATAATGACCTCTATATCTCTCATCACCAATAATGTCCCCTATATCTCTTATCATCAATAATGTCCCCTATATCTCTCATCATCAATAATGACCCCTATATCTCTCATCATCAATAATGTCCCCTATATCTCTCACCAATAATGTCCCCTATATCTCTCATCATCAATAATGTCCCCTATATCTCTTATCACCAATATTGTCCCCTATATCTCTCATCATCAATAATGTCCCCTATATCTCTCATCATCAATAATGACCCCTATATCTCTTATCATCAATAATGTCCCCTATATCTCTCACCAATAATGTCTATATCAATAATGTCCCCTATATCTCTCATCATCAATAATGTCCCCTATATCTCTCATCATCAATAATGTCCCCTATATCTCTCATCATCAATAATGTCCCCTATATCTCTCATCATCAATAATGTCCCCTATATCTTTCATCATCAATAATGACCCCTATATCTCTCATCATCAATAATGTCCCCTATATCTCTCACCAATAATGCCCCCTATATCTCTCATCACCAATAATGTCCCCTATATCTCTCATCATCAATAATGTCCCCTATATCTCTCATCATCAATAATGTCCCCTATATCTCTCATCATCAATAATGTCCCCTATATCTCTCATCATCAATAATGTCCCCTATATCTCTCATCACCAATAATGTACCTGATATCTCTCTTGTGATAATGAATATTTGTTGTCAGAAAGGTGAGGAACTTTTGAAGGATGTTCTTGATAAAAAATTCCAAGCAGCTGTTCCTGAGATTATTGTGTATCTACAAGAGGGGATCGGCAATAATACCCGTATAGATTATGGTACAGGTAAGATTCCATACAGAGGATTGGCTGTAACTGTCGTATATATTATGGTACAGGTAAGATTCCATACAAAGGATATGCTGTAACTGTTGTATATATTATGGTACAGGTAAGATTCCATACAGAGGATTGGCTGTAACTGTCGTATATATTATGGTACAGGTAAGATTCCATACAAAGGATAGGCTGTAACTGTCGTATAGATGACAATACAGGTAAGATTCCATACAGGGTTTTTGATGTATACTATTATAGATAACAGAACTAGTATAAAGATGTCATAGTTATTTTGTTAAATAATTTTTAGTTGACAAGTACAGTTGTAATAGTAAACATACATCAGGAAAATTCCCAAGGTCACTGATGTGAAAAAAATGAATTTATCTCCTTTTTGGTAAACTTTTTACAGTTGTTTTCCTTGCTGTTAGGACAGTATATACCTGATTTGTAAATTTTGTTTTTTGTTGCAAGGAATTCAAATATTTACATGTTTATCAATTATGATATTTTTCCCTGCTGCAATATTACATGATTGTATATATCAATGTTTTGTCTTTTACTTGGACAGCTCTTGTAGTAAGTGACATTTTCCCCCTGTTTGGATATATGTAAATTTTTTCTCACAGCTAGACATAATATATCATGTGTTGTATTTTCCTTTCTGCTAGGACATGAGCTGTCTTTTGTGGCCTTCCTCTGTTGTCTGTTCAAGATTGGAGCCTTACAAGAGGCAGACGCTGTGGCTGTTGCCCTTCAAGTTTTTCAGAGGTATGTGACCTCACTCTTTATCTGTCATGGTAATTGTCTACTACACAGCTCGAATCATATCTCACATTTACTCACAAGTATCATGGCAAAGTTTCTCTTCTTGAGGCTTTTCAATACATATACATGTACCACATAGTTTTCAAAAACTAATCATTCAACATTAGCTCAAGATAGTAGATCAAAAAATGGTATGTCTACAGCAATCAGCAGCACAGTGTGCTATAGCTATTGTCAATCACAGGTATCTGTTGCTGGTCAGGAAACTACAACAAACATACCGTATGGAGCCAGCTGGTAGTCAGGGCGTGTGGAGTCTGGATGATCACCAGTTTGTACCATTTATCTGGGGAAGTTCACAACTCCTGGGTAGGTGTCTTAATTTATATTTATTTAGGGAAGTATATAACTCATGAGTAGATGTAAGAGTTCATACATCTCCTGGGTAGTTGTGAGGGTTCATACTATCTATTCAGGGAAGCTCACAGCTCCTGCGTAGGTATGAGAGTTCATAATATTTATTGAGGGAAGTTCACAACTCACTGGCCATTTCTCTGACAAAGTCAATAAAAGTTTACACAGAAAAGTAGTTATCAGTAAAAAATTTCCATAGAAAGACAATTCTGATGAGGTTCCTTTCTTTAACTCTAATTTGACAACATATCTTTCTTGTTTTCATTTGCCATTAAAATCTTGACATGGAAATATTTTTAAATGAATTTTTTTTCTTTTAATTTCAGATCACAAAAGAATTTTGCCAAAATCTTTTGTCAACCCAGACATTTTCCAGAACTTTGACAAAGATTACATGTTTTTAGGATGTATAAAATACATTGATTCGGTGAGTAATCTTTGTATATAAAACATTGATTTTGTGAGTCCGTAGTCTCCTTGGCTTTAACAGTTAGACCCTTAGCATCACTGGCAATTCTTAGAAGGACGAAACAGGCTTATGATGGAGTTTAATCTAGCACTTTTGTGTCCTTTATACAATCTGTTGTATAAAATAAAGTGAATTTGTGATTCATTTGCCTCCTAGCCTTCAAAATTTAGGCCCTTAGCATCACTGACAAGTCCTAAAAGGACGAAACATCTGTATGATGCAGTTCAATTCATCATTTGGCTCTACTGTATCTAATTACAATGGCAAATTTATCATAGGTTGAGTGTACATTTTTTTTCTAGGTGAAGACTGGGCCATTTGCTGAGCATTCTAACCAGCTCTGGAATATAAGTGGTGTCAAGGCATGGCAGAAGGTTAATTCTGGTCTCATCAAAATGTACAAGGCTGAGGTAAGCATGGTGGTGATAAAAAACATTAAATGGAATGCTATATATCTGTAGGTAATACTTAATGGAATGCTAAATATTTGTAGGTAATACTTCATTGAATGCCAAAATATTTGTAGGTACCACTTAATGAAATGCTAAATATTTGTTAGGGCCACGTAATTGAATGCTAAATATTTTTAAGCAATACTTAATTGAATGCTAAATATTTGTAGAGAACTCATAATGGAATGCTAAATATTTGTTAGGGCCAGGTGATTGAATGCTTACTATTTGTAGGTAAGACAGAACAGTGCCTGTTTATTTTGTTCAGTATTATAGGTTATAGCATTGATTTTTCTGTCTCTGTTGTTTTTTGTGGACAGGTCCTCGTGAAATTCCCTGTAATCGCACACTTTTTATTTGTCTATTTTCCATTGACAGATCGATGCAAAATTCCCTATTATCCATTATTTCCTTTTTGTCTGCCAGATTGTTTTCCATTTAGAAGTCTTTACTAAATTCCCTGTAATCCCAAACTCGGTGATTGTTTAGTTCTATTACTTCCTGTTCGTTCACTTCCACTACTGGTTGTTTTCCATTGACAGGTTAATGCTAAATTCCCCATAATCCCACACATACTGTTTGTTCACTTCTATCAAATTATTTTCCATTGACAGGTCCTTGCAAAATTTCCTGTAATTCAACACTTCCTGTTTGGAAGTCTGCTGTCCTACACTCCTGCGAATGTGACCTGAACAGAAACATTAGCACTAATAAGATTAGAAGGGAATACCAAGAAATCAGAGTGAAGTGGAGATGGGGTGAAAGATACAATTAATGATGAAGGGATGGGGTGTAGGAGAGGAGACTTTGAAGACTATGGCGACTGAATCATAAAATGTGAGAGGAGAAATGTGCTGGCAAGCATCAATAAATACAACTGATGGTCATTTATACTCTCAATAATGTATCTTTAGACTTCCTCTTATTGATTTTATCAAATATTGGTACTATAATTATGAAGTATAGTAATTATACATTATGTAAATCAATATCATTGTAGTCCTATATTTTTGCCATTCTTATGAAATGAATAAAGAATTCAGAAAATATATGAAATATATGAGTTGGTTCAAATTATCACTTGAAAAGAAAACATGTTGACAAGATAAACAAAGACAGTGTACATCATTTTAGGCAAGTCTCAATAGCCATTTGGTGCTATATCAGTTACTGTATAACATGAAATATTTTTTACATGGTTCAGAGATAAGATGACCTCTACTAAAGAGTAAAAACTTTTGTGAATACCAATAACAGTAGGAGCTGTATTAAGAACACATCATTGTCTGTGTAACAGGGGATATTGAGAACACATCATAGTCTGCGTAGTAGGGGATATTGAGAACACATCAAACTCTGTTTAGTAGGGGGATATTGAGAACACATAATAATCTGTGTAGTAGGGGGATATTGGGGACACATCATTGTTTCTGTAGTAGGGGATATTGAGAAAACATCATTTTCTATGTAGAGGGGGATATTGAGGACAAGTCATTGTCTGTTTAGTAGTGGGATATTGAGAACACATCATAGTCTGTGTAGTAGGTGATATTGAGAATACATCATAGTCTGTGTAGTAGGGGAATATTAAGAACACATCATAGTCTGTGTATTAGGGGGATATTGAGAACACATCATAGTCTGTGTAGTAGGGGGATATTGAGGATACATCATTGTCTGTATAATTTGGAATATTGACACATCATTGTGTGTGTAGTAGGGGATATTGAGGACACATCGTTTTCTGTTTAGTAGGGGATATCGAGTGCACATCTTAGTCTGTGTAGTAGGTTATATTGAGGACACATTATTGTCCGTGCAGTAGGGGGATATAGAGGAACCATCATAGCCTATGTTGTAGGTGATATTGAGGACACATCGTAGTCTGTTTAGTACGGGGTATTGAGGACAATTCATTATCTAAGTAGAGGTATACTGAGGGCACGTCATTGTCTGTGTAGTGGGTGATATAGAGGACACATCATAGTCTGCGTAGAATGGGGATGTTGAGAACACATCATGGTCTGTGTAGTGGGGGATATTGATGACACATCACAGTCTGTGTAGTAGGGGATATTGAGGACACATCATTGTTTGTGTAGTAGGGGAATATTGAGGACACATCATTGTGTGTGCAGTAGGGGATATTGAGGACAAATCGTTTTCTGTTTAGTATAGGATATTGAGATCACATCTTAGTCTGTGTAGTAGGTTATATTGAGGACACATTATTGTCTGTGCAGTAGGGGGATATTGAGGAACCACCATAGCCTGTGTAGTTGGTGATATTGAGGACACATCGTAGTCTGTTTAGTAGGTGGTATTGAGGACACATCATTATCTAAGTAGGGGTATATTGAGGGCACGTCGATGTCTGTGTAGTAGGTGATATAGAGGACACATCATAGTCTGCGTAGAATGGGGATGTTGAGAACACATCATGGTCTGTGTAGTGGGGGATATTGATGACACATCAAAGTCTGTGTAGTAGGGGATATTGAGGACACATCATTGTGTGTGCAGTAGGGGATATTGAGGACAAATCTTTTTCTGTTTAGTATAGGATATTGAGATCACATCTTTGTCTGTGTAGTAGGTTATATTGAGGACATATTATTGTCTGTGCAGTAGGGGGATATTGAGGAACCACCATAGCCTGTGTAGTTGGTGATATTGAGGACACATCGTAGTCTGTTTAGTAGGTGGTATTGAGGACACATCATTATCTAAGTAGGGGTATATTGAGGGCACGTCGATGTCTGTGTAGTAGGTGATATAGAGGACACATCATAGTCTGCTTAGTAGGGGGATGTTGAGAAAACATCATGGTCTGTGTAGTGGGGGATATTGATGACACACCACAGTCTGTGTAGTAGGGGATATTGAGGACACATCATATTTTGTGTAGTGGGGGATGTTGATAATTCATCGTTGACCGTGGTGTAGGGGATATTGAGGACACATCATTGTCTGTATAGTGGGGGATATTGAGAAAACATCATTATTTATGTAGAACGATGATAGTGAGGACACATCATAATCTGTGTAGTAGGGGGATATTGAGAACACATATAGTCTGTATAGTAGGGGGATATTGAGAACACATCATAGTCTGTGTAGTAGGGGGATATTAAGGACACATCATAGTCTGTGTAGTAGGGGATATTGAGAACACATATTCTTTGTGGAGGGGGTTTTGAGGATACATCATTGTCTGTATAATGGGAAATATTGAGGACACATCATTGTGTGTGTGGTAGGGAATATAGAGGACACATCTTTTTTTGTTTAGTAGGGGATATTGAGAGCACATCTTAGTCTGTGTGGTAGGTTATATTGAGGACACATTATTGTCCGTGCAGTAGGGGGATATTGAGGAACCACCATAGCCTGTGTAGTTGGTGATATTGAGGACACATCGTTGTCTGTTTAGTAGGTGATATAGAGGACACATCACAGTCTGCGTAGAATGGGGATGTTGAGAACACATCATGGTCTGTGTAGTGGGGGATATTGATGACACATCATAGTCTGCGTTGAATGGGGATGTTGAGAACACATCATGGTCTGTGTAGTGGGGGATATTGATGACACATCTTAGTCTGTGTAGTAGGTTATATTGAGGACACATTATTGTCGGTTTTGTAAGGGGATATTGAGAACACATCATATTTTGTGTAGTGGGGGATGTTGATAACACATCGTTGACCGTGGTGAAAACATCATTATTTATGTAGAACGATGATAGTGAGGAGACATCATAATCTGTGTAGTAGGGGGATATTGAGAACACATCGTAGTCTGTGTAGTAGGAGATATTGAGGGCATCATTGTCGGTGTAGTAAAAGGATATTGAGAAGACATCAAAGTCTGTGTAGTAGGGGGATATTGAGATCATATTATAGACTGTCTACTAGGGGATATTGAGGACACATCACTGACGGTGTAGTAGGAAGATATTTTGAACACATCATAATCTGTGTAGTAGGGGGATATTGAGAACACATATAGTCTGTATAGTAGGGGGATATTGAGAACACATCATAGTCTGTAAAGTAGGGGATAATGAGAGCACATCATTGTCTGTTAAGTAGGGGGACATTGAGAACACATCCTAGTCTGTGTAGTAGGGGGATATTAAGGACACATCATAGTCTGTGTAGTAGGGGATATTGAGAACACATATTCTTTGTGGAGGGGGTTTTGAGGATACGTCATTGTCTGTATAATGGGAAATATTGAGGACACATCATTGTGTGTGTAATAGGGAATATAGAGGACACATCTTTTTTTGTTTAGTAGGGGATATTGAAAGCACATCTTAGTCTGTGTGGTAGGTTATATTGAGGACACATTATTGTCCGTGCAGTAGGGGGATATTGAGGAACCACCATAGCCTGTGTAGTTGGTGATATTGAGGACACATCGTAGTCTGTTTAGTAGGTGGTATTGAGGACACATCATTATCTAAGTAGGGGTATATTGAGGGCACGTCATTGTCTGTGTAGTGGGTTATATAGAGGACACATCATAGTCTGCGTAGTATGGGGATGTTGAGAACACATATTTGACCGTGGTGTAGAGGATATTGAGGACACATCATTGTCTGTATAGTGGGGGATATTGAGAAAACATCATTATTTATGTAGAACGACGATAGTGGGGACACACCATAATCTGTGTAGTAGGTGGATATTGAGAACATATTATTGTCTATAAAAAGGGAGTTTATCGAGAACACATCCTTGTCTGTGCAGTAGGGTGATATTGAGGGCACATCATAGTCTGTTTAGTAGGGGATATTGAGGACACATCATTGTCGGTTTGGTAGGGGGATATTGAGAACACATTATATTTTGTGTAGTGGGGAATGTTGATAACACATTATTGACCGTGGTGTAGGGGATATTGAGGACACATCATTGTCTGTGTTCTAAGAGGATATTGAGAACACATCATTGTCTGTGTAGGAGGGGGATATTGAGAACACATCATTCTCTGTGTAGTAGGGGAATATTTAGGACACATCATAGACTCTGTAGTAGGATATATTGAGAACACATCATTGTCTGTTTAGTAGGGGATATTGAGAACACATCATAGTATGTGTACTAGGGGGATATTGAGAACACATCATAGTCTGAGTAGTAGGGGATATTGAGAACACATCATAGTCGGTGTAGTAGGATATATTGAGAACACATCATTGTCTGAGTATAAGGGGATATTGAGAACACATCATAGTCTGTGTAAGGGGATATTGAGAACACATCTTACTTTGTGTAGTAGAGGAATATTGAGGACACATCATTTTCTGCGTAGTAGGGGATATTGAGGACACATTATTGTCGGTGTAATAGGGGGATATTGAGAAGATAATTTGAACACATCATAATCTGTGTAGTAGGGGGATATTGAGGACACATTATTGTCGATGTAATAGGGGAATATTGAGAACACATCATACTCTATGTAATAGGGAATATTGAGTACACATTATTGTTTGTGTAGTAGGGAATATTGAGTACACATCATTGTCTGTGTAGTAGGTGGATATTGAGAACACATCATTGTCTGTGTAACAGGGGATATTGAGAACACATTATACTCTGTGTAATAGGGGGATATTGAGAACACATCATACTCTGTGTAGTAGGGAATATTGAGTACACATCATTGTCTGTTAAGTAGGTGGATATTTTGAACACATCATAATCTGTGTCGTAGGGGATATTGAGGACTCATTATTGTCGGTGTAATAGGGGAATATTGAGAACACATCATACTCTATGTTGTAGGGAATATTGAGGACACATCATTGTCTGTGAAGTAGGGAATATTGAGTACACATTGTCTGTGTAGTAGGTGGATATTGAGGACACATCATTGTCTGTGTTCTAAGAGGATATTGAGAACACATCATTGTCTGTGTAGGAGGGGGATATTGAGAACACATCATTGTCTGTGTAGTAGGGGAATATTTAGGACACATCATAGACTCTGTAGTAGGTTATATTGAGGACACATTATAGTTTGTGTAATAGATGGATATTGAGAACA